TCACCATACATACAGTTATACCGAGATTAGTTTCCATAAATTTACATAAATGGAATCAGATTTCATATATACAGAGATTAGTTTCTAGATTTTTTCATGTATATCTGTATAAATTCTAGATATATGCTGGTTAATTTCTAGATAAATAGAGGATCCAAAGATATAATTCTAGCATCAGTTATTGTTGATGCTCCATTTTATTTTAAGATAGTGGCTGTTATTGTCCTTCGTTCGAGTATAAATTCTAGATTTTTGAATATATTTGAATGAAATCTTAGTTTTACGAGCAGATTATCAAGAAATATGTCCTATATAAAATATTTCCTCTCTAGCAGATAAACAAAATGGAGACCTTTCAGACATTTTGATTGCGAGGAAACTAAAGCAGATTTGAAGCTGCAAATATTCTTTTTTTAAACGATTTAAATACAGTGAAATCTGTCCAGAACGGAAACCTGCTTAAACGGAAAACATCTCCGAAACTGAGCGATTTTCTATGTTAAAAAAAAACCTGTGCAAAACGGAAAAATATTCAGTACCGTGCCATTCCGGTTTATACAGGTTTTACTGTATATATTAATTTGTATAAGTGATTTTTCTTTAATTCATTAACTAAATTATATTAATGAAAAATATTCGAATAATTTCTTCGAAATAACCAATACTTACTTTTAATTTAGTAAGTATTGGTTATTTCGAAGAAATTATTCGAATATTTTTCATTATTTTCTTACATTTTTTTTTCTTTTTCTTATCTTTAGAGACAATTAAAGTTAAAAATATAGGAAAAAAAGAATAATTTATTGAGTATTTTATGTCGAAAAAAGATTTAATACATTTGTCTAATTAATTATTTTAAGATTTTTTTCGTTTAAACATAAATTAAAATCACAGAAAAATAAATATTTAAATTGTATTTACAATTCATTAACACGGTATTGAATAACGTTGACTTTTACCAATTCATTTCAACATTTTCCAAGTAATTTTAAAAAAGCTAATTTTTGTATAATTTTAAACATTTTATAAATACAAATGATAAAATAAAGGAATTGATTCCCGTACAAAATTTATATTCTTTAGAATTGTGTTTGTTTACATAAGCAAAGAGTAGAGAGGAATATCTATTGTATAGCTTATCGTACAACAAACTCGGCGGCTGTTTCGAACCAGATAGACCCAAAAAGGTATTTCCATCCCCTAACTTTTGTCAAGTTCTAAGCGAACAATTTCGCTCGAAATGATATTTACGCTCTGACGACTACATAGGAAGAGGTAACTGTCAAAAGCGATGCTTTTGTCCATCATGTGATGCGTTAAGCGAATTGAAAGCAAATGCTAAAATTCCCAAAGGACGTTTCGACAATTTTCTCAGTTTATTTTCTATAAATACGCTTTTGTCGTGCGAAAATAATCATTTTTCTATCGTCTCATCTCTATAGAATGGCTCCTTCTATAGTCATTTCTATCGTTCTTTTACTATGACATCACTAACGTTATAACTTCTGTTATACAATTAATTATCGTTCGTGCTAATTAAATTCGTTTAAATTTATAATATTCTACACTAAATGGAAAGTTATACATTAGTTAAAGTGCGCATTAGCTCGTTATCTTTATCGGGCATTCCATTAAACATGTTCTATCTGCATGCTGCCGTGTAGCATTACTACAGACACCACTTAAATCTACGATTAAACCTTCGTTAGACGCTTTTTAAATGAAAGATTTAAACATTCGTCATTAAAATGACTTAAATTTTTATTGTCATCCATCCGTAAACATCCTCATCTTCTCTTTATCCATCTCTAGCATCCTTACTTAATGAGTGAGAGTGGAAGTGGGAATCGAAGCTTAATATTGATTAGTAAAACAATTCTTTGGATCTTAAAATAAATTTGATTGGAGGAATTTAAGTCTATCGATAAAAATCTGTAGAAAATGACAGAAGAGAGGGAGTTAATACAGCATACAGAAGATGATTTAGGATTGGGAATGGTAGTCAACGACCCAAATATAAATAAGTAGCATCCAAATGGCGACGTGAATGATTATGATTGAATATTGAAGAGATGTTTTACTAAAAAGAAAATGCCAACTTCTAGGAGATAAATCATGCATTACTTAAAAGTTCGAGGAGGGTTCTGAGATTTTTATCAAGGTTTTCTAATCATTAATCTTTATTCTTCGACGAGTTTTCAGTATAGAGCAATTTAATTTCCATTAAATATTTATAAATTTTCTTTTCTTCAATTGTTCTTCATCTAAAAAAAAAGACTTTCTGAAGATCACGAAACTTTCCTGTTTTGTGTAAATTTACAGGGAGAAAAAAAAACAAAAAATACAATTTATGAATGATTGAAGAGTTGACATAATACAATTTCCATATTTTTACTCCTATTCAATTAATATGATATTATTATTTTTTTTAATATTTAAAGCTTTTAATTGGTATAATTCTAGAAAAAATATTAAAAAAATTGTATAAAACTTAAAATAAAATAATTTATAAATAATTAAAATATGAGAATAATCAAGATTTTCTCATATTTAATTCACACTTTTGTCAGCTCTTCAGTAGTTTCCAATTAACAAGAATCATGATTAAATATTAAATTTAGATTTAATTTTCATTAAATATTATAAATTTATTTACTTTTTGGATCACTTAATAATTTATTTTTAAAATAACAAGCAAAATATTTTATAATTTTACATTTAAAAAATGCATCACAAAAATTAAATTCCTCGTGAAAATTAATTTTTATTGAAGTTTGATGAGGTAAAATAACAACATTTAATTTAATTTTTCATTAAATATTTAAGAGGCTCTTTAAGAGGCGTGAAGTCAATAGATTTGTTGATATTTTGGCATGTGCTTTTTTATTTTGGAGTTTTTATCACTCTGTTAACATGGGGATAGACTCAATCACACAATATTCGAATTAAATGGAGCGTTTATAATAGCATTTTCGTGATCTTTAAAATTTCATCACGTGATGAAAGGTTAGAATGTGGATTGTTGAGAAGAGAGATGAATTGGTTATTCAGATGGCGACGTCTTGATGTTCCATCGTTTAACAGCATAGCAATGTGTAAATATTAATGTCCCAATGGGTTTTCTAACGTGTATGGACAATCAACGGTTGGCACGAGTGAGTAATGATGAGGCACGTGTCGAGAATCACACCGACGATGACCAGTTGTTAGATTCCATTACGTGAATTGTCACGTACCACGAATAAATTGAGTAATGTGAACGTTATGTGATTGGTTAGATTACACGTGACATGAAATTAGTGTGGTCGACAATGTGGTTTCGATAGCGATTTCACTAAAAATACTAAAAATGTCATGCTTAAGTGAAGTTTTTAGTAAATTAAATGCCTAAAAATAAAGAAAGCAAAAATTAGATTTTATATAGTAATTACTTTGTAAAAAAATTAATAAATTAAAAAAAAATCAAGCTGGTGTGAAGTTATTACAATAGATAATACTGTTTCAATAGTGATTTCATGAAAGCTTAATGTTTACTAAAGTATTTTTTGCTTAATTGGCAATTAAATAACAAATTAAATAAAAATTAAGCTTCTAGAATGTATAAAAATGAAGCCAAAATCTAGAATTAGATCATTGTAAATTAGAAAAAAAAAGTAAAATAAATATAGTAAATGTGAACAATTCGAGTTGACAAGTACAATTTTTATAACTAATAGTTTTTTAATAAGCTTGAAAGAAGTTCATTTAAGTTTGGTGTAGCTTAATCTAATGAAAGAAAAGCACTTTAGCGAAAAGGACATCAGTCAGTTATAAAGAAGACAAGCCATGTATGAACATCTTGAAGAAACTAATTGTTCTCAATCGGAACCTAAATCGACTTGGCATGTGTAGATGTAGGACCACCCCCTGGTCACAAGACCGCACAGATGGACAATAGGAAATGTCACTTTGATTCACACACAGCGTTTCTCATCTACATCCCTCTCTTTATATATTTTTTTCGTTAGCTTCTATATCCATTTGTCCTTGTATTCTCTACTTTGTTTCTGTCGAGTGATCCGATATCCGAAAATCTCTTATTTAAACATTACTCTTCTAGTTTATTTGGATTCTTTCCAATTTATTAAACATTGATATGAATATTCAAAGAGGAATTTAAGTATCGACTCGAGTTTCCTAGTCGTTAAAGGTTAAAAATGAGTATAAGCGAGTTGACAAATCTATGCATAAATCCTAGATTTCAATGGTTTATATTTTAATAAACTTTACTAAATGTAGAATTTTATAATCTTTAAACTTGTAAAATATATTAGAAAGTTAAAAGAGTGATTTATTAAAGGATTTAATACTGTAGATAAAACTATCAATCCTCGATTCTCGGATGTATTGACCTCGTCGATAGAAATTATTCGCGTATAATCCATTTTTTAAGATTAATGAAGATCCAATTTTTGAAATTTTATAATATTTTATAAATATTTCATTCTTATAAAACAATAAAATTCATAAATTTAACAGCGGTTAAGTTTATTTCGTTTAAAACGAAAATCGTAAGATCGATTTACAATTATATTTCTAGACGTTCTATGGTACCCATAAGAATTAGTTTTTTAGAACGTTCTCGAGTTCAAATTGCAAACCTTTAGAGAGAAATCACGCATGAATCGCAAGCAGAAGTAATTTGGAAAGTCGAATACACCAGAGACTAAAAGTTACGTGACAAGTATAGCTGAACTAACCACGACGAATGGTTCCATCAACCTGAAGGTGCTCCTTGTTTTACCTGCTTGATCACATAACTCTCTTCGCTAAACCCAACTATTTCTTAATACACAATTGATCCATCCTCTTCTACTTTTTTCTTTTCTCAATTTACAATTGTAAAGAGTTTCTCTAAACTTATTTTAAGACGTGGCCGTTTAAACGGGCTTCACTTTATCCATATTTTAAAATGAGATTTATACGATTTTAAGCACTTTTTTCTTTTTTATATATTGCAGATGGCTTCTTCTAGTAGTAAAGATAGAAAAATTGCTTTTTCTCGCATAAGTCAGACTGATATATGTTTGGAAGAACTGCCAGAAACTACTTGGATAGCACCGAATGCAGAGAACGACGTTCCACCAGTAGAGACTGTAAGTGGGCATAAACCATTTTCGAAATTCATTACCACAGCTACCACTACTCATTGCGAACAGAAGCAACCACTTTTAGAAAGAGGGACACCAGAAAAAAGGAGTCATAAGAAGTTAAAGGGTGCAAACGAAGAAGATAGTACATCAGAATCGGAATGTTCCACGCATCTTTTAGAAACTCCTGACGTTTGCCCAACAAAAAACGAAGAAGAAGAAGAAGAAGAATCTCAGAATCATCAAGCATCAGTTCTTTCTGGTAAACCGTCCAAGTGTCCATCTTGTCCAACAGACCTGTTATTAGCTTGGAATTGGCCAGCTATACGTTTAATATGTCTCGTTGCTTTTCTGTCATCCATGTCTTTATTGGCTTGCGTGGTGGTAGCCATGTTGATGGCATCCTCGGGTCATTGCGGTCCACCCAGGCAATGGTGGCAAGGGACTGTTATGTATGAAGTATTCCCAGCTTCTTTCCAAGACACGGACGGTGACGGTTTTGGTGATCTAAGGGGGTTAGTTTGGAGACTCGATTACGTTCGATCTCTTAACGTTAGCGTACTTCGTCTTAATTCGATCTTCAGCGCTCTCGACTATCCTTTGGAATACGAACACATTATCGATTTTTCCAACGTGGATCCTCATCTGGGTAGAATGGAAGATTTTGATCATTTCTTATCCGAACTGAGATCTAGAGGGATGAAGTTAGTGTTGGACATTAATCCAACTGTCACCAGCGATCAACATACTTGGGCTGCACACTGGCTTCTAAACAGACCAGGGCAATATGAAAATTACTACGTTAATGTGACAGAAATATCGGTAAGTTTATAAAAATAATTTTTTAAAATCAGTTTATACATTCGAATGAGGAGGTTTGGTGATGTTTTTTGAGGTTATTAAGTAAAACTTTAATGCGAGAGAAAGTAGATTCGCGTATTTTTTCGATAAATATTTTAATATTTTGCTGAAAAAATATTTAAAAAATTATTGACTTTTTACTTTTTCTCTCTTCTGCTGAATTTTCCATTTCTCTAAAAGCATAATTTATAGAAAAATCCAAATATGAACTTAACGAAAAATAATTAATTAATAATATTTTGGAGAAAAACTTAGAAAAATATTTAACAATAAAATCGTTTAATTCTAATTTCAAGTTGACATTTATTTATTTAATATCACTTTTACGATTTTTACGAATTAATAATCATCTCTGTCATTAAAAATTACTTAAAATAATTTTTAATTTAAAATATAATTGCTTTAAAATTTTATTAAAACAATTTTAATACTTTATAAATTTTTTATATCTGATAAATTAATATATAATTTATCAACTGGTATATGATCCGAAAATAAAAATTTATAGTCGAGTCGATCGTAAGAGTAAGAAACGAAAACTGTTTATAGAAGGTTGGAGAAATAAAATAAAAAAAATAAAAAATGGTCAATCTATAAAGTAGAGGAATGTTAAACTTAGAATAGAATAAGAATAAGAAAAAAATAACAGCATTTTCCCATCGTTCCCCATCCTCTTTCAATTCCCATGCGTTCGGTTCATCAATTCCAATATTTTCTTCATACCAAAAGAAATCAATCTTGAGCATCGACTGTCAGAAGTTTTCACCTATGACCGAGCTTTGACGTCATTGGGGACCTTTTTCAGCTTCGATTTTATAAGATTCATCCCACAGGGAACATCCTCTTCTATTCTGTTGTATGATAAGTAAACAAGACCGCGAGGGGTTTGTATATCTATAAGTAAAAATCTTCCAAAATCTCGTGTTTAAACATAGATTTTTTTTGACATCCGAAGGAGAAATATATATATATATAAGTTTATAAATAATTGACGAATAACAAATTGTGTTTTTATTTCAATGAATATTGGCTTTTTATTTTTATTTTTTCCAATTTCAGATGTTTCTTTTTATTTTTTGAGTTCATTGAATGAAGTGCTTTCTACTTTAGAAAATCTTTCTTCCATCAAAAATTGTTATTTGTAACTTAACCTATGCTTTTCCGAATTGATTTTTTATTATTATTCTTTTTATAAATATATCTTTTATCAAACGAAATAAAAAACCGAAGAGTATAAAAATTTATTTTACAAATCTAATATATATATTTTTTCGTATGTAAATTAGTCATTTTTACGGATTTAAATAATTAATTCCAATCAAAATTCCATAGTTAAAAAGCCTAATAATTAACGACTTAATCCAATGCCTCTATTTTAAAATGTAAGAAAGAATTATTAAGAGGGGTTGAAAACCCGCTGAATAATTTTTTCTCGTGGTCTGTCTTCGGGGTATAATGGCATTGCACCACTCATTTTCTCATAAATTATGACATAGAGCATTATCACTTAATGAAAACGAGGTGCAAAATCATTTATCATCTCCATCCCTCTTGTAGGAGAAAGACAAAGTATGGAAATCTAACGATAACAATCTCTAATTTCTAAAAAAAACAAGAAAGAAATCGATATAAATTTGATTAAACAAGTCAAGAATTGCTTATAATCCTAATATGAATCATTAATAATTTCGAAAATATATTTTTATAAACTCTTCCCTGGTGTATTCGTTATGATAGCTTTAAAGGTAACCTTATCAAAATCACAACAAAGTCTTAATTGAGGGGCTAAGTACACATACTTAATTAAAGATTTCAAACGACGTTAACAAAAAGGAAAAAAAATCCCTGTTGAAGTATTAACACCCCTTTATCATTCTCCTGCAGATCAGTTTAATTGTAAGATTCTTTTTTTTCCTCCTCCCCCTTCACCTTTGCCACCAGCTGGTGTTCAATTTCCTAATAATGTAATGTCAGCCAAAGTGTCTGAAGCCCCTTAGGCCATCTGTCTTGATTTTAGCCATCTTTCCACATTTTCTTTTTGACTTTCCTTAACCGATTCGAGAGCTTTCTGCTCAGCAGGCTACTAGCTATCATTTAAAGTAATTATTGCTCAGTAAGTCTGATAACAATTGGGAATTTTTGCTCGGCAGGTTGGCTATCGTTTAAAGTTATTGCTCAGCACATCTGATATTAATTGAAGTGCCTTTCAACAAACTAGTTATTATGCTTTAAGTAATTTTAGCTCAGCAGGTTTGCTATTGCATAATATAATTTCTGCAGATATATATAACTAGTTCCATTCTAGATATATCATTTTAACAGGAATATTATTTGAAAAATGTTATTGCTCGTTAGCTTCAATGTCTTATTATCTGAAAAAATCATATATTAGACGACCGTTTATTAATTTTAGAAGTTTGTTAACATTTAAATCCATTTTTAAGCTGATTTTGAAATAAAATTACGAGAAATTTTACTTAAAGTTCGTTAATTATGGCCTGAAAATATTCGAATAAATGACTATACTTGCTTTTATAGAATAAACATTTCTTTAGAATTTCATTAATCTTAATGAGCATTTCTTTAGAATTCCTATAGAAATTCTTACAGAGATTAATTTCAAGTACTAATTTGAAGCATTTTCTTTAACAAATATGATAATTTTAACCAAATGTACAACAACAACAACAAAAAAATCATAAATCACGCCAATCTTTCATGACATAAGTTAAACAGGACAACACGAGAACAAAGCCGATTATAGATTAATCTCATCATCCACGTGTTAATTACGAATTTCTATTTTTTTTTTTTAAAAAAAGTAATAATAATCCTTAAATAGTAATTATATTTTATGAATTCGACATTAGCCTCATTAAATTTTCTTTTTCTATCAAATTTATTTTTTTAAATTTTATTTAATTTTAATTATATAAAAAGTCATTTAATCGATTGTGATTAAATATTCCATTTAGGTTAATTTTTGTTAAAGAAAAACTAATTATAATTTAGTAAACTGCGTAAAAATCGGTAAATGTGTTCGTATAATTTCGTTTAAAAATGCTTAGTGTTAATTTTTTTTATACGGAAGCTGTAAACGATCACATTCAAGACAACTTTAAAAAATATCCAACAAAGAGTTGCTTAACTTTCCCGGCAACATTTGATGGAGTCATCTGTTATATTTTATTTTTAAAACGTTTATATTATTAATTATAAAATGGCAAAAAAAAACTTAATTTTGAGGATAGGGACGGGTTTTATAAAAAATTGTAAATGCTAATAACGAGTAAAGTCTTCATTAAGTCCGACCCTACTGGAGATACACGCGTCCACCTTTAATCACTAAAATTTAATAGCATCAATCCCCCTAACAAACAAACCTCCCTGCAAAATTTAAGAAATTTTCGACAAAAAGCACAGGAGTTATTAAACTTTAAAGAGAGTGAACAAAATCGTGCTACCCCCAAACGCACATACTAACATCCATGAATACAGAAAATCCCACTGAATATTTTTTGCATTTCTCGACGTTTGAAGGTGTCCTGAGCCCAAAAATGTAAAATTCTTGGGAGGGGGGTCATTTTTTTTTACTGATTGCCATACTTTCCCTCTGTTATATATAACAGAGCCGAGAAAAAAAATACACGTACTTAAGTTTACCTGCAACATATTCAAAGAACGTTTGCATATTTAAACTAAGTTACAGTTGAAGAGGAAAATGGTTATTCTTGTTAACCTGCCGGTTCACGCTCTCAATTTCCCTCTTGGAAGGTAGACCATTCATCACGATCTGCCAAGAATGTCGCCTTCTTTAAATCGTGACTTTTAAACAAAACGGTTTCATCCATCAAGATTCTGTCTATCGCGTGTCTTGAACAGACTCGCTCATTGAACAACAGTTAAGATATCAGAATGCTTTTTACTTCTTTCCTGCGAAAAAAAAAGATTATAAAGCTCTAATGCTTAATGTGTTCTTAAGAAACCCAATTTTTCCTGTGGTCTCCGAGTGATCAATATGAAGCAAAGGGCGAGAAATCAATAGTAAAGTTTAAAAAAAGCCAAAAATTTTGAATTTTTCGTTCTTCTTTTTTATCGATTAACATTAATTATAATAAAAATTTCCTATTAGAGGTATATTCTAAATCGATAACAGTCATAAACATAATCTCATTGCCTGTATGTTTAACAAATGAGCGTCATTAAATCCCAAACATGAGAATTTAATGGTTTGGATCGATTTTTCCATAAGAAATTTGAATGGTTATTACGATGCCATCTTTAAACAGTACAGAAAATCAATTTGAATTTTTATCGTGGTTTACTTTTTCTTTATTAGGCTCACTTGTTCCTCTAACAATTTATTTCTATAACGAGCTCTAGACCAGACTCTCTTATAGGACTTATTTATGTCCATAACGTGATACTTTATATAACATTAAATACAAAAATGTTCTTAAATTTAAACATTTAGCTAATGCACAACACATTAAATTCTTAAGTAAAGATAGGCAAACTATAATGGAATTAAAACATATACAAAGGTACGAAGGTTGAGAAGTTCAATTATTAATCTAGGCATAAATATTTAGATTATTATATATATATAAGTGAGTATAAACCACTATAAACAGTAGCTAATCAACGTTTTTTAATTACGCACTCACTCTTTTAGTTTTGATATGATTTTTGAGTATAAGTCTATATGTATTTTATCATTAAAATTTCAAGTAGTAGATCTCGATCTACCATTTGAGATACATTATTTGCTATAAAATCTAAACGTTGAGTCATAAATTATACAAAATATATTAAATATTTTGTGTATATTTTATATTTGAAAAATATATTTTTATTGTATTCTTGTCATTTTGATAAAGATTTGAATTTTTAAAAGAGAAAACAAAAATTTATTTTAGTTTTCCATCTCTTGACGCATATACAAATATTATTTTATCAATTCGAAAAATCGTTCACATTTATCAAAAGCTATACATAAAATTGCGAAAAAAATTCTTCCCAGTTCTTAAATTTCTAAATATCTAAGAGGAAAGAGTTTGATTAAATTTTAAATTCGAATTTCTAATATTGGATGTTTGACTTCGACTGTTTCATCAAACGTGGTCGCAGATATTACGCCATTTGTTGCAAAACAAGTTTTCTTTTTCTACTTTTTTTTATGGACGACCAAAGCTAAAATCCGTTTAGAATCAAGGAAAAAAACTTGTTGTTTCGGCTTTACCTTTTTACGAGCAAGTGCTTACAAAGTGACATTTTTCTGCTTCGTAACACCTGCGATATGGAGGAAATTTCGTTTTTATAGCCGTGTTTATTGTGTCAATTAGTTTGAAACAACCGTGAATAAATCTTACGGTTTTCAACTACTTTTTATCCTTAATTATTTGCATTAGATAGATTACACTCGAATAACAAACATTTACTCATTTAATTAGCATTCGTCTCGTTGATTGGTTATTGATCGTATTAAATTTTTTTTCATATTTTCTTCTAATTGGTTAATTTTTAATATTTCATATAAAAATTTAACCAATAAGCATAAAATATTCTCCGTTATTAGCGAACCCCGCCTCTTTGATTGGATTAAGAACATTTAAATCTATTTCACTAATATTTTATTGGTCTATAACTTATGTTGTCATCAGTGGGCGTTCCGTTAATAATTTTTCATTCTAACTGATTGGTTTTTGAAACATTTTAAACGTGTAATTCAGAAAACGTTTGATTGGTTTATTTATTACTGCTCTGTTAACAATATTAATGGGCGTTTCTGAATATTGAAGTTTTACTTATCATTAATTATTTTGGAATTATCTTAATGTAATAATGTTAATTATAAAATATACTTTGTTCTACAAATTTAGGAAGAACCTCCTTACGATACAGAGGATAATGCAGAAGACATAGATCGTCTAGTACCTCATAGGACATTCGGTAGTCAGCTTTACCTTAATTGGTCAAACATAGCAGTCCAACACGAATTTTTTGAAGTTTTAGAATTATGGTTAAATAAAGGTGTCGATGGTTTCTACGTCAAGCACTTGGAACGTATACATGTGCATAGCGACGAAGAATTACTCTTTATTTTAGAACAATGGCGATGGACTTTAGATCGCTACGGCAACGGAAGTAATAAACATATTCTTATGACTTCCGAAGGATTTATTAGGACAATGGAAAAGCGTAGTCCTTCTTTAGTGTCGTCTTTCTTGTCAATATTTGACCTTTTAGATGTTCGTCTGAATGTTAAAGTCAACGGTACACTCGAAGTAGCAGAGCAGGTGTCAAAGATCGCATCATGGACATCTTCCTCTACTTCTTCCAACCTTCCTTGGATAACTTGGCACATCGGAGGAGTGGAAACATCAAGATTGGCAACTCGTCTTCACAGAAAATATACACTCGGATCAATCTTCCTTTTAATGATGTTACCGGGATCTGTTTCGATATTTTATGGAGACGAAATTGGTCTAGAAGATTCATTTGATATATTTTCACAAAAGGTAAGAAATTCTTTTATATTTCTTGCATGTTAAAAATTCGTATTATAAAATTTTACTTTATATATTCATTATTATTAAAATATTTCTAGGTTTTTCGAGGAGGTCAACTTTGCCCTATGCAGTGGTCAGCAGCATCACAAGCCAACTTCACAGACGTCGACGCTTTGCCTTGGCTTCCCGTTCATCCGGCTTACTCTGTATTCAATGCAGCAAATCAAGCGGAAATCACTAAACTAGCATCCCGTATCATATCCTTAAGGCAGAGTGCGCCATCAATAGCGGATAGCGGATCGAAAGGGGGTTATCGTTTCCATCAGGCAGACGGTTCTGTTGTAGGCCTGGAAAGATATTACCCGAGAAGTGAAAGATACTATTTGGCAGCTAATTTGGGTTACGTCACTGAGATTCGAGATCTTTCCAAAGATCTATACGAAGCTAAGGTGTTAGTTTCGACTCACAGACTATCAGGACGAATGCAGTTCCATAACGTTCGATTAGAACCGGGAGAAGCTTTCGTGGCACTTATCGATTCGTGAATGTAAGGTGTGAAGTACAGCGAAACCGTCCTGGGAATGACTAATTTTCAAGTATTGTGCGAGTGTCAGATTTCTTAACGAAAATTTAAATAATAAAAAAAACAAAATTATCGAAAGACAGTTTTTCTAGAACTCGAAATAGCAAATCCAATACAAAAATATAAAAGAGGTAGTAAGTCGAACATTACAGGGTGAAAGACAAAATTACCAAGAAATAGTTCCGTCAACCCTCATCATCATCATCCATCCAGATGCGATCATTTATAAAAAATGACTTCAAAGTCAAAAATGTGAAAAATCCTCATAACTTAATGTATCGTTTTGATGAATGGAAGAAATCAGTCTCCATAGAATTTAGCTAGGAATTATATATACATATATATATATTTTTTTCCTAATGGGATGAACCGTAACTAAATACATTTAATTTGAAAGATCTTTGAAAAGATAATTTAGTAAAAATAACTCTTGAAACATAGGCAGTCCTACGTGATATATGTAAGATGTCAAAACGCAAAAAGATCTTAACAAAGATCGGTTAAAATAATAGAAATGGGTGGAAATAAATCTATTTCTCCCCATTTTTTCGATCAATTGTTGAGAAAATAAATACATTTTATTAAATCTTCTTAAGAATCTTTCGTATTTGATACTTTACGTATATTGCAACGGACTTCCTATGTTTTAAAGAACATTTTTGTACACTTTTTCTTCTTTTATCATTTTTCAAAGTAATTGTATTTACTTACGGTTTTCCCCCGAATTTGTCGGAATATGAAATTATGAGAGGAATGAGAATTTAATTAACAATCGAATTTTACCACCTCGTTACTGGAAATCATTTCTGTTGAGTAAGTTTGTACATGACTTTCAATTAAGCCAACCAGTTAAATGATAGCCTGTAGTCATAAGATTAAATTTGGGCGATTTACTTATGACCGAAAATCGTATAAACGAGAACATAAATGTTTATAAACTCGTCAAGGAAGGATTATTTTAATTTAAAAATACTATAATTATTGAAAATTTCCGTTAATTGTAATTAACTCGATACGCTGATAATATGAGATTTTACACAATTTTAACAAATTGGATAATTAGAAATTGTCAAGTAAGTTTTAATTATTTTAAATAATAGTATCAATTATTTAACATCTAGAAAATTTAAAGAGTTTTCTAACTTGTTAAATAATTAAAGCGCAGAAAAATTCCTGATCCGCAGGGACTCATAAAGAAAGAAAAAGTTTGAGAAGTTGTAAGAATAGGTAACCTAAGAAACATAATGATGCCAATTAGGCTGTGGAAGCAAAGACTATTATCAAGATAAAGTATGTCCTAAGAAGATGAAAATGATTTAATTTAGTCTATATATAGCTTAGTTTCTACATTATTAATAATTATATTAACAAAAAGTAAAGAGCAATTTAGATTTTGTTCACCAAAATCAAAATCATATAGAACGTGGATTAATCCGGATTAAAATGTGATTATTATAAATCTTACAGGTATAAGAATATACGCACAGTTATCAGCATCAAGGATTCTTAAGGCTTCCAAAAAAAAAATTGTGCAAAGAATGTGCATTGCTCATAGTTCAATGCAAGTAATTTCTCCACTCCTACCATATTTGTAATATCTTGTAATGTCATCAGAAAAAAAGAGGGAAAAAATATTATAAGGATAATAAGCTAATTATGCTAATAACCATAATCTCGAGTTAATCGTTGGTATTTTTGTACCTCACCAAATTCCTTTTCATGTCCGTGAGTCCTGTAATTCGCATAATAAGTTTTCGAGACATCTCGCGTTGCAATGTCCTCTTCGATAAGAAACTTTGCTAATTTATCGAAATGTCTCGTGTGGCAAACACGATACTTTGTGTCAACTTTAAAGAACAAGATGTGAAGTTATGACGAGTGATTTTATTATATAAAAAAAACTGTTCGTTTTTTTCTTTTCGTTTTTTGAAAAATAAATTTTTCCCTTTCCACAAAAAAACTCATGTTCCTTTCTTTATATTTAAAGCATATTTTATGCAATAAGTATGTGTGTTACGCTATTAAATTTATATTTACGAATTTTTCAAACTTATAAATCATAGTAAAAATAACAATTTAGAATCTAGAATGTTTTTTTTTTTTCCTGAATAATAAGAGACTACTCCTTGACCACGATCAATCCATCATTGGTTACAACAGAGTACAATAAATTATTGACAAGACAAGATAAAATTCAGGAATTATTCACATCAAACTACGGTTTATATATATATTATTCACTATGAATAATATATTAAAAAAAGATTTTCGGGTGAATAAAAACATTTACTTTCCTTCCGTGAACGAAAAAAAACTCTATAAAATATTAATCTTACACAGCGAAAAAGTGTGAGATTTGTAAACGTTTCATACAATTAACATATAAATTTTTGAATTCATCTTGTGATAAATATCGAACGAAGATCTATTTACTTTCTTAATATTAGATCTAGAATGACAATTCTTAATTATAGAATTCTTAAAGATGAAACAAAGAAGTTTTCATTCGATTCTCTTTGATTAAGAGATATTTTTCAAACTCATCGACTGCATCAAGGGCAGGAAATGACGTCTAGTATAGAATCTCTTCTGCCGGAAGCGAATAAAATGAAATATTGAAGACAACAAAGAAGTGAGAAGTTGTTCCATTAATTAAAATTAATAAAGCGGAAATGTCAAAGCATCTTTTTAATTAATTACTCTAGAAATTCCAAGAAGTATTGTATAGGACAGCAATAACTTGGTGAGTATCCAAGAAAAATGAAAAATAAAAAAGAATAAAACGGCTTGAGTCTTGCTTTTAATGTCCGCATTTGCCAATAATAACGATTATAATGATATAAATATGTTCTTTAAAATTATGTTAAATAGTTTTCTTCATTATTTCGGTTAAAGTGATTCGATGATTAAGTTTCTATTAAGTACATAATTATATTTAATAACTCTTTAATTATATAGAAATTCTGTACAGTATGATTAAATATTGACCTCTCTCTCTAAAAGATAAAATTTAATATAAAAGGATAAATAACATCCAATTCATCAAGTACCAGATGATCGTATCAATAATTAAAGTACCTCTGTTCAATGTCGTCAACAGAGATATTTACCAGCCCAAATGCAACTAAATCTGGTATGGTGACATTTCAGAACATGAGGATGATATTTCCGTAAAAGCAAACATTAGTACCAGAAGTCGTTACTGTGGCAGTTTTAGTGTTGCAAGCGACATTTTATTTGTACAGTACAAGAATACACTCAGTTATACAGAGATCTTAGCAATGCTCAATGTATTTCCCATTCTGCAGGTGAAAAACCTGAAGAAGACGAACAGTGCGTTCAATGGCCAACCATAATTGATATTATGTGCTGCTTCTCTCGTACAGTTTGATACTGTCTTTTAAGGCTGCCAAATTTGCAACATGTCCCCGACACTATCTATACCAAAAAAGTGTACCCGTAACCAAAAGTCACGAGAATTATGATCCAAAACGCCAAAAGTGCCCTAGAGGTCAGTTTTGATACTTTTTTGAGGAAATGTATTCGTCATATCCTGAAATGTCACTAAACCAGATATGGTTGCATTTGGACTGCTAAATATTTCTCTAGGCAACTTTGAATAGGGGTACTTTAATTACAATTACGTTCAAAAATCTCATATTATTAAATGGTTCGACTGTTTATGAAATGAAAAATTATAAAAGCTTAAAATATAATTTAATTTCAGTTTTATTTATATTAAAAAAAATCAAAAGTTTAGTTAAATAAATGAGTCAATATTTTTTCCACTAATTTAATTTCTTATTTTAAATAAATATTGAGATAAAAACTGACTTTAAATCAGAATAAGAAAGTAAATAAATAATTTTGATTTGGCTATATAATAATTACATATTCTGTCAAGGGAATTTTTATTTCCTCATTACAATACTTTTATCATGCATTAAAAATTTTTAAATGAAATGCTGTATAAGAATGTTTTTGTATAATAAATAGTTGATAGGTCACATGTTCACCTAAAAGTAACATTATAGATAGAAAAAATATAAATTTGGTGGGGTTCGAACCTATAGAAGGACGTGGGTTATGACCCAGTTGCGCGTTATCCTATGGACAAAAAGAACAATTTCTTAGGGCCCCCAACAACAGGGAGCCTCAAACAAATCTTTTGTAAGAAAATATTTTCCAAAAAATTCCCCAAAAGATAAATGTCTGAAGTCAACACTACAGTACATGGTGACCTAGTGTTGACTTCAGCAAATTTTGCCTAGGTCCCATGAAGTCATAATGCGCCGCTATTAGAACCTATACAAGAACGTGAGTTCGAACTCCATTAGAAACCAAAACTGTATTCTTTTTCTGTCTAAAAGGTTCATTTCTAGGCGAACATGCCACTTATACTTAAGGATACATGTTTACAATTTCAACTATTTATTATAAACACATTCTTACATTTTATCAAATAAATTTAAAAAAGCAAAATTATTTTCATTAAAAATTAAAAAGTTTCCATGACAAAATATGTTATTTTTATATACATTTAGGCAATATATTTTATAGCCTAGTCAACATTATTTACTTACTTTCTTATTCTGATTTTTAAAGTCACAGTTTTTATTTAATCAATATTTATTTAAAATAAATTGAATTAGTGAATAGTGCCACAGAATATATAATTTTTTTAAGATAAATATTTATATGTACATTTAGTTGTATATATATATTTTTTAATATATACAAATGACATAAATATGTAATGTAACTCTGCTAACTTTGTTCTACTGACTGAACATTTGATTTATACACTAAAATTTGCTCTAGTAAGTATAATTTATTTATTGTAGACACGTGTAATTTTTCTATACTTTATTTTAACTTAAATAAAATGAATATTTGCAACGTTTACAAAAATTTTTAGCAAAAATTATTGATTGTAATTTGATATAACTCTCATTAATCGAGATGATACTATTAAAATTAAAATCTTATAACCGTTTCTAAGGAATATTATCTATGATAAATATTCTACTGATAAATAGATGATAAATTTAAATTTCGTTATTAAATAATTAAAAAGCATTTACAATGTTTACTTAAAATGTCAATTTGTATTCAGCTAAGTTCATTATAGAATGAATTTGTAGTAATTAATTACATAAATAAATTAATGAAAATTGTAATTAATTGAATTTTAAATGCATTTTTATAATATTTATAAATTAATATAAAATATACGTCAAATTATATATACCGGTAATAAATTTACAATTTATTATATAGCTATTCTAAGACTATATATCACAGTTTACTTATATATATATTCTTAATTCTTTAGAATATATTCTACAGAA